ATTCTCACAATTTATTATTCTGGTAAAGTTTGTTGGTAGCTTTTAATACATTTCACGGCTTAAGAAAGTTGTAAAGTTCGCGGATATATTGTATTGACGCCTCAACATGATCGTTTGCTAAATTAATATGAACTTTTACTATAGGTATTAGACTTATCAGCCTGTAGTTTTCTAATATTTTAATACAAGTGAGGGGAATTTGAATATGAGTTTATTTCTTAGTTTATTTCAAAACATGTATATAATTTTATTATTATTATTATTATTATTATTATTATGATTGAATAAAACCCACATTTTCTGAGGGTTGTGCGTGCGTTATATTTTATCGCTAATATTGTACGACTTTTATATTTTATATTTTAATTTTTGCCAGTCGATTATATTATAATATTATAACATGCGTGTATAATGTGGGATGTATTCCTTTAACGATTTAACGATGATTACCATATCGCTTATCATTAAATCGTCAAATGCTCCATGGATACATCCTTAACATAATATTTAGGGCAGAGGATATACAGTATTATTAWCGCCCTAAAAAATCTCAATATATACATGCTGTAATGCATTAAAAAATAATTTCTTAGTGTCAGAAATAATAAATATTACAAATCAATAAATTAAATATAGCATTTAAAATAAGAACAAAGTTAAAAAACACATGGACAACAGTTAGGTGGATATACAATCGACAAGCAGCCATTACGGTTACAGTGCGTGAACATTTTAAATAATCAAATGGTAAAGAACTGAATTATTRTTTAAAAGAAAATGAGTWAAAATATCCCCTAAAACAATAATATTATTCTTCGAAAACCAAAAAATATCTATAAATGCATATACAGTATCAAATAAGAAATACGTATAATTTTTAGTTTATTAAACACAAYTTTTTCTAACTGTCCTTTTTAATGATTGCGCAAAAAAAACAAATATTCTAATGTTATAAATCCTCTGCCATAAATTATTATATTATATGTGTACACTCATCTATAACKTTATATTATTCTCCTTATATTATATTATGACGACGACGAAATATTACGATTATCTATGTATTAATTGTTGCTCGTACTCGGTTTTTTAGGCGCAAAAAACGTTGCATACGGTACATCGAGAGCGGCGGCGACTCTGGCAACCAGTCTGACGACAACCAGTCGACGGGCAGCCTGGGCCACTCGGACAACGAGGAAGCCGACTCCGCGTCCAGCCCCGGTGGCCTGAGCGCCCTGTCCAGCCTGACCAGCCCGGGAATGTTGACGCAGGCCAGCCTGTCCCCTGCCACGCCACTGACGCCTCACGTGTCCGAGTACGAGTGCCCGCCGATGTCCGTGCGCATGCCGTTGGCCGTGGTGGTGCCCACCAGGCACCATCAGCCGGTTGGCACCAACCCGCACGACATCAACAACCCGCTCAGCGTCAACCAGCTGACGGGTGGTGTCGTCAACAACAAGTGCCATAACAACCCCAGGGATCTGCAGCAGCAGCAACAGCAACACCAGCAGCAGAACGATCTGAAAACCGGCGGTGGCCCGAACAACCAATCCGAACAACAACAGCGCCCCAACAACAGTAACCGGACGCTGCCCGCCATCAGCGTGACGTAGCGAAGCTAAACGACASTACATAATAATAATGATAATATAATTGTAACGATGACGATGATGTCACGTGTAGGATAATCATATTGTTATTGTTGTTGTTGTTGCGTACCATGATGTTTATTATTATTATTAATATTATTATTATTATTATTATTGACCCACCCGCT